ACCATCCTTCACCCCACCCCCCACCCCCGTATTGCTTTGCTGAGGAGGTCTGTTACTTGAGTGTTTTGAGCCTGAGGTCTCATAAACCAGGGATGATGACACAGACCTCACATCCTAGCACTTGGGAGGTGTTAGAGACAGGAGGACCAAAAGGTTAGATCATTTTTGGCTACATAGCAACAGTGAATCCCCTTTTTTCTTTATATGTTGTCTGGGTTTGCAGCGATGTGCTGAGTGAACCTGAGAAAAGGAACCATACGAAGCACCGGTGTTGGCTCCGGTGCCCAGGAGAACTTCCTCTAGAACATTTCGAAAGTGTTGGTTTTTTTTCATGGGTTTCTTAGTAAAAAACACCAACGTCTGAAACAAAACAAAAAAAAGTATACACAACCATGCCAACGCCTGTCCATGAAGGTTTATTAACGGTTACTTTTTTTATGTTTGTGTATGGTACACACTGTGGCATTAAAGGGCAACTTGCAGAAGACAAGTTCTCTCCTCTCACCTTGTGGATCCCAGGAATTAAACTCAGGTCAGCGGCTTGATCACAAGCGCCTTTGCCCACCGAGCTATCTGTTCAGCCCAGAAACTTTACTGGTAAATACTGAAACCTGGAAACAACCAAGATATGCTAACAGGTGAACAGCTAGACTACCTAAGTGGGGGTCACACATAACTTTGCTTGTTTGTTTGCCTCGGTGCTGAAGCTCTAACCCAGGATGTGCGCATGTGTGCAATCAGCTCCCGAGCCACGCCCCAGCCACGCGGGTAGATGCTGGTGATTCCCACGAGAAGCTATGGAAGGGTTTTAGAAGCACCTTGCTGACTGAAAGAAAGCTCCCAACAGGGAGCTGCTATGTCCCAGGGTCTGAAACAGGGGTCAAAACAGGGCTCAGCAGGTACTTGGTGACTTTGAGAACCAGAGAACAGTGAGCATAAGATACAAGGCTCTTTGTCGCACTCTGACTCAGCTGAAAACACATGAGACCGGCTCGGCGGCCCCAGCCTGAAGTCTCTGTCCTCAGAAAGCAGTAGCCAAAGAATTACCATAGACCGGATCTACAGTCAGTCCAGACTAGTCAAGGCTCCAGTGAGAACCTGTCCCCAAACAAACACAAAGTCAGAGGCTAGAGATCTGGCTATGCAGTCACAAGCTTATACTATAGGCTGGAGATGTGGCTCAGCAGTTACCAGCACTGGCTCTTCTCGAGGCCCTGGGGTTAATTCCTATCACCCACGTGGCAGCTCACAATTCCAGGGGATCTGACATCTTCACACAGACATACGTGCAGGCAACATAGCAATGCACATAGAATACAAATAGTAAAATCTAAAAAAAAAAAACAAAAAACAAAAACAACTGTATACTGCTCTTGCAGAGGACCCACATTCAATTCCTGGCACCTATAAGGGCAGCTCACCTGTAATTCCAGCTACGAGACATCCACTGCCCTCTACTGGACTCGATGGGAACTGCACTCCTATGTGCACACTATCCTCCCCACCCGACAAGTACATCTAAAAATTCTTAGCTGGGTGGTGATGCCCCACACCTTTAATCCTAGCATTTGGAAGAAAGACAGAGGCAGGCAGATCTCTTGAGTTCCAGGACAGCCTGGTCTACAGGGTGAGTTCCAGGACAGCCTGGTCTACAGGGTGAGTTCCAGGGCTACGCAGAGAAATCCCGTCTCAAGGGGGGGGGGGGGGGGGGGAGAGAGGAGAAGGCAGCTTTCAAGTGATTCTGTTTAGGCTGCATAGCTTGGGCACCCTGAAGGTCTACCTTCTGCATCTGAATAGATGGAGAAAGCGAAGCCCAAGCCCCAGAGCAAGCTCCCTCCTACCCCACAGCAAGCTCCCTCCCACCAAGCTCTTAACGACTTCTTACTGAGAGCAGATTGCTGGGGGCCAGTTCCCCTCCCCCAGAGGAACTCAGCTGTGAGTTACCAAGCCTATTTGTTCAAGACCATGGAGACATTATTCACTCCTAGGAGGTGGGGGAAGTCCAGAAGAACTCTTAATCGGTCTGTTTCGGGTGTGATGAGGTCACAGAAGGCTTCACTTCCCTAAGCTGACGGGAACTGTTTCTTTCTTTTTTTTTTTTTTTCCTTTTTGGTTTATCTTTTCACATGACTGGATTTACTAAATATATTGAACTTAAATGACCAGATTGCAAATATGCAAAAGTCAGAACTGGGGAACAAGCCTAAGATCCTGGCACCTGTTCAGGTGGTGTGTGTGTGCGTGTACAGTGTTTATCCACACATCCTGAGTGAAGACAGTGGAGTCAAACTGTACATACATGTAAACAACTGTTTCAACAGAGCTGAGAAAGGAGACAAACACACCTGAGAAAAGTGGATTCTTCAACAGGAGTCATGGTCCATCTGCTGAAACAACCTGTAAATCGGGATTGGGGCAGAACTTCAATCTATAAACACAAAACTTAACTCACACTGGGGCTAAGAAGATAGCTCAGTGGGTAAGAATACTTACAAGTATGGAGACATGAGTTCAAATCCCCAGCACCCAGGTGCCTGGCTGTGACCCCATCACTGGGGTGGTGGCAGTGGAGGACAGGGGTGGGGGGAACAGGACAGAAATAGGTGGGTCCTGGGAGCTCACTGGCTAGCATAGCCAAACAACAGCAAGCCAACCCTGAGGGGCCTTGTTTCAAGGCAATAAGGTGGGGGAAACACCCTTTCTCGGGCTCTCATATGGATACACAGGGATGCAGACATCTGAACAGGCATTGTCAAAATACAAGCAACATCAACCCAACTCAAACTGGATCAGTGACATAGGCGCATAAAACTGCAGTACATGTACGTGCATTAGAAAATATGGTGGGAGCCGGGCGGTGGTGGTGCATACCTTTAATCCCAGCACTTGGGAGGCAGAGGCAGGCAGATCTCTGAGTTTGAGAGTTCGAGGCTAGCCTGGTCTATAGAGTGAGTTCCAGGACAGCCAGGGCTACACAGAGAAACCCTGTCTCAAAAACAAAACAAAACAAAAACAAACAAACAAACAAAAAGAAAATATGGTGGGGGAAAAAGGTTTTATCACAGAGTTAGTTATATAAGCCAAATTGGAATCGGCCCTGAACTTGAAGTTTTCCTGTTTCTGAGTGCTGGGATCAGAGGAAGATCCCAGCATGCCCGCCTGCAGAAATCTTTATGAACCTTTGCCTAGGCAAGATCCATTCCTCCCACCTAAGCAATCTGACTAGAATTCATTAAAATTAAAAACTTCTAGGCCAGGCATGATGGCTCAGACTGGAAGCAAAGAAAGGAACAGCAGGAGTTATGGACCATTCACGGCCATGTAAAAAGTTTGAGGCTACGTGAGAACCTATCTTAAAAAAATTAATTTCTGCCGGGCAGTGGTGGCGCATGCCTTTAATCCCAGCACTTGGGAGGCAGAGGCAGGCGGATTTCTGAGTTCGAGGCCAGCCTGGTCTACAGAGGGAGTTCCAGGACAGCCAGGGCTACACAGAGAAACCCTGTCTCGAAAAACCAAAAAAAAAAAAAAAAAAAAAAAATTAATTTCTGATATCTGAAGGCTGGCTTTGGAGATGACTCAGGGGGTAAAGGTACTTGCTACCCAGATTGACAACTAAATTCAACCCCTAGGACATTGTGGAAGAAGAGAACTCTTTCTTTCATTTTAAGATTTATTTTATGTATATAGTACACTGTAGCTGTCTTCAGACACACCAGAAGAGGGCATCGGATCCCATCACAGATGGTTGTGAGCCACCATGTGGTTGCTGGGAATTGAACTCAGGACCTTTCAAAGAGCAGTCAGTGCTCTTAACCGCTGAGCCATCTCTCCAACCCAAGAACTGATTCTTTCAAGCCAGCCTCTGACCTTTCCTTGTGTATCATGGTCTCTCTCTCTCTCTCTCTCTCTCTCTCTCTCTCTCACACACACACACACACACACACACACACAATCTTTTAAAACTTCTGCCATTTCTGCCACTTGGAGGACAAACTGTGAAAAGGTATCTAGAGATTCATTACAGCCCAGCCAGCTGTTACTTGAGGTGTACTTAAAAATAATAATAATATAATAATAATAAAATAATAGTAGTAAAAGGACTGGAGAGATGGCTCAGCGGTTAAGAGCACTGACTGCTCTTCCAGAGGTCCTGAGTTCAATTCCCACCAACCACATGGTGGCTCACAACCATCTGTAATGGGATCTGAAGCCCTCTTCTGGTGTGTCTGAAGACCGCTGGCTTGTACTTATATACATAAAATAAATAAATCTTTTTTAAAAACGTATAAACTGTAACAACTAAACCGTAGATTTAAAAGCATGGAAGTAATGATACATTAAGAAACTGCAGCAATGACTTAAATCTCAGTTCAGATAAACTTTTTGTTTGTTTTAGGGGACAGGGTCTCACATAGCTTAGGCAGGCCTTAAATTCTGTAGCAGGGAACGACGTTGAACTACTGATCATCCTTCCGGTGCCTAAGTTTCCTCAGGGATACAACCCCTTAAAGGTTCTTATCCCAAAGAACCCATCTAAGCTCGACCCAACTCCAGTCCTCCAGGCTAATAATACCAGGCTTCTCGCCATATTTTCCAAATTTAGATTATATGGATTCTGAGACTACACTGATTTGAAAAAAAAAAAAAATGGGTCAAGTTCAGCGAGCCCTAACATCACACAACCCCCGCGGACTTCAGAGGATCCCGCCAATGGGAGAGGCCGCCTAGAAGGTCGTAAAAGGCAGCTTCACCCTCCGCGCTTTTACGACGTCGGGAATGCACACGCGCTGTGGGACTACATCTCCCAGGAATCTCTTCGCTGCTTCTCGGGGGGAGGGGCTTGGAAGCGGAAGACTACATTACCCAGCGGCACCTTGACGGTGACATTGGATCGGCCCTCCGACGTACAACGATTCGTCCAGCGGCGGGCAAAAGCTGCGCGGTGATTGGCCTAGCCTCCCGTCAGTTACTGGCAAGTGCAGTTAAGTTTTGCTGTTGGGCTACACTGAGAGGTAGGGAGAACGGAGCCTGAGGAGCCCGGCCGAGCCTGAAGTGTCAGGTGAGTGGACCTCTGGCTTTGCTCTCTTCCTGGTACTCTCGGGGGCCGGTACCCCTACTCCATGTGTCGGAACACAGAAGGTCAGGTATCCACGTGGGGCGGGGACGGATGCTCACGTGGCACACCTTACCTCGGGAGCATCTTCAGACACGGAAGGCGAATCCCTCCCACCACCACCACATCGTAGGCATTTGCACATGGGGTGTCCACTGCCCGGGACTCACGGAGAAGCTCTCCCCACCCCACCCCATCTCCCGACACGCCTGGACAGTGTACTCACGCGGCTGTCTGCTCAGCTCCTCAACAGATCACATGGGCTCTCGGTTAGTCACCGAAGGACACCTGTCCACCCGCCGGTGGAATCTGATGTAGAAAAGGGGCAGGGTGATGAAACTCGCTGGCACCCCATCACTGCCAGTCAGGTCAGCAGCCGCCCTGTCTCAGTCTTGCATTTATATTTATTTATATTGTAAATCATTTTTTTTAAAGATTTATTTATTTATTTATTTTATTAGTACACTGTTGCTGTCTTCGGACACACCAGAAGAGGGCATCCAATCTCATTACGGATGGTTGTGAGCCACCATGTGGTTGCTGGGATTTGAACTCAGGACCTCTGGAAGAGCAGTCAGTGCTCTTAACCGCTGAGCCATCTCTCCAGCCCCATTGTAAATCATTTTTATCTGTTTAGATATCAAGATTATTAGTGCACGAAGATTTCTGAATAAATAGGTGATTAGTTTTTCCCTTTACTGATTTTTGTTATTGGTTTGCGACCGTGTAACCCAGGCTAGACACGAACTTGTTATGTTATTAAAGATGACCTTGAACTCTTGGTCCTGCCTCCAACCTCCCAAGTCCTGGGATCAGGGACTCCACTGCCCTGCTGCTTCTTGTGGAGAATGAACCCAGGGCACCTTACCAAATGTAATACTTTCCTAGCCTTGGTTTGTGTTTCTGTAGTTTTCTGGAAGACAGACGTTTTTAGAGCTTTGTAGATGTGTGTGACTTACTGGTTTTCATCACTTAATTTGATGAGCAGTTTGAGCCAGGCAGTCAGACATCATCTCCCACTTCCCACAAGGGAAAACTGAGTTAGTATTTCATTTCATTTAAAAGACATTTTTAAAAATTTTTTGCTGTGAATGAGCATTTTGCCCGCATGTATTTCACCACATGCACACCTGGGGCAGGAAACGGCCAGCGTTTCAGATACCCAGAAACTGGAATGACTGCTGTGAGCCTTCTTGTAGGTACTGGGAATCAAACCTAGGCCCTTAGTAAGAACAACAGCCAGAGCCTGGTGGTGGTGGCACACACCTTTAATCCCAGAACTCCGGTAACAACCCAGAGACAGGTGGATTTCTGAGTTCGAGGCCAGCCTGGTCTACAGAGTGAGTTCCAGGACAGCCAGGGCTACACAGAGAAACCCTGTCTCAAAAAAAAATCCAACACAACAAAAGAGCAGCAGCTAGTGCCTTTAACCACTGAACCATCGCTCCCGCCCTGGAGCTGTCAAAGCTGCTTGTAGTTTATGGGAGAGCCAGAACTTGAACACTAGTTTTATTTCATTGACATTTATTTACTTGTTATTGGTGTGTGTGTGTGTGTACATACAGTCACACACATACCACACGGAGCATGTAAGGTTAGAGATAGCTTTCTGGAGCCGGTTCTGTCCTTTCACCGTATGAGTCCAGGGATGCCTCTTGGTCTTCCAACTTGGCAACAGGTCCCCTCACCTGCTAAGCCATCTCTGTAGCTGCAGACATTTATTTATTTATTTATTTATTTATTGACAACGGGTTTATAAACTCAGGACTTTGTGCATAACAGGCAGGGGTTCTACCCCTGAGCTACACTGTGATCAAACACACAGCCTAATCCCCCGTGATGCCGGGAGCGAAATCCAGGGTCTTGTACATGCTTGCCTGGCACTTTGAATTTTGTCTGAATTTCTTGGGATGAGGTCTTCTATAGCCCAGGCTGGCTTCTGGTCCTCTTGCCTTTGTCTCCTGTGTGCCAAGTCACAGGTGTGAATCATGGCTTTCCTTTTAGCCTTTATGTTAAGACAGGGTCACACCGTGTAGTCCAAGCTGGCTATCACACTGTGGTCCTTCTGCCTCAGTCTCCCTAAGAGTCAAAACCCAGTCTTGTGGACCTTTATCCAGCAATGCAGAACTGTTCATTTCTGGAAGTCTGGACACTCCAGCCTCTCCCACCCCGAGCTTGGTTTGAGTGGTGCAGTTCCTGGCTGGGGTTCCAGGCAGATTCGATAGCTTCTCAGCTTCTGTGGACAACGGGCCAGGACGCCTGCCTCTCTGCTCTCTCTCCTTTCCCTCCTAGACTGCAGGAAACTTGAGACTGTGAAGGACTGAGCAGCCCAGTCACCCCTGAGAGAGTTCAGTGACTTAGTCCTCTGCCCTGGTTTAACCTAACTCTCCCAGGAGAACCTTCTGGAAATGTTCCAGGGTGGATGAGAGAAGGAGGGAACCGAGTGACCTGACCTCCTGGTCACTGTGCTTGTCCCAGCCACGGACTAATTTGATGGTCTTTCTAAAGACCTCTCTTTTGTAGGTGTTTTGTTTGTTTTGTTTCCGAGGTATCTGAGTTAAAGTTCTGTCACTGCAGCGACTCCATGACCAGCAGCCTTTTGTTTTGTTTTTTAAGTCATGATTTCTCCATGTAGCCCTGGTTGTCATGGAACTCAGATCCACCTGCTTCCATCTCACCAGTGTGTGTGTGTGTGTGTGTGTGTGTGTGTGTACACTCGTGTGTGTCCCCATCCCCACACACGTGTGCAGAACCCTAAGAGGCCAGAAGAGAGTGCTGAATCTCTTGGAGCTAGAGTTACAGGTGTTTGAACCGTGTGGACACTGTGATCTGAATTCCAGTGTCCATGATTATGCAGCAAGTGTTTTTAACTGAGCCACCATCCTTGTTTATGATGGATCTTTTCTGTTACTGGAGGTGGAAGGTACAGTGTTTAAATAAAGGCCATGTTTCCATAGGCTTCCATGGAGAGGGGGTTGGGGGGTTGTTTTTGAGACAGGGTTACTCTGTGTAGTCCTGGTCATTCTGGAACTTGCTCTGTAGACCAGGCTGGCCTCAAACACAGAGATCCAACTGTCTCTGTCTCCCAAGTGCTGGGACTAAAGGTGTGTGTCACCACTGTCCTACTGTGCAGGTTTACATTCTAATCACAGGGACAAGAAGTAGCATCCCGTAGTAAGTAATAAGGCTGGGCAGGGAGGGCTGCCACAAGGAGGCGGTACTGGAGAAGAGGCCCTAAGGAAGTGTCTTTACTCTGTGGCTTTTACACTTAGCTTGATCCTCATGGACTTTGGACGGACCAGAGGCAGGGATGGTTGGCTATGATGCCAAAACAGATGCCAGGAGTAACTCCAAGCTGGAGGTGGCGGTGGCGGGATCAGTGTCAGGATTTGTCACTCGTGCCCTGATCAGCCCTTTGGATGTCATCAAGATCCGTTTCCAGGTACCTTTTTCCCACTGTTCCTTGTAATGGGCTAGGGGGCAGGTTTAGTCCCAGCAAAGACAGTTCTTAAAACTTGGAATTCTGTCAAGATGAATGAAGTATTTCTTTTCCTTCACCTTTCCCCTTGTGGTTTACTCCACTCCCAGCCCCCTGACCTTTTGCACTTTAATCCCTAGCTGCAGATTGAACGCCTGAGTCCAAGTGACCCCAATGCCAAATACCACGGGATCTTTCAGGCGGCCAAGCAGATTCTGAAAGAGGAGGGCCCACGAGCCTTCTGGAAAGGACACGTTCCAGCCCAGATGCTGTCCATAGGCTACGGAGCTGTCCAAGTAGGTATCAGGGAACCTAACCTGGTCTGGTCCTTGGGGTCACGTTGCTCCATGGAGCAGAGGAAGGCCGAGGAAGTAAGGATGTCACTTTTGGTGGCAATCCCTACTCTGTCCTTTGCCTACCTGGGAAATCTCTTCTGACCACCTGAGGCTGTTACCAGTCAGCTACACCGTAGACCTCCCCTCCCACAGCCTGTTCGCTTCCCCCTCCTGACCCTGACCCAAGTGGTAATTAGTAGTACTCCATTTTTCTTTAAATTTCAGATTACTTTTTGTTTATTGCTTGAGTAGCGAAGCAGGAGGCATGCTTACTAAACAATTGTTGCCAGGGGGTCAGGGTCAGAGGCAATTTACAGGAGTCAGTTTCTCCTTCTGTCTCTCTCCTTCATCCTGAGAGATAAATCCTGCTGTCTTTCTGATTCTCCAGAAGAGAAGGCTGTGACAGAACAGGTCCTGGGGTTCACTGGGGGTTTAGTTGTTTTGTTGGAGACAGTTTCTCTCTGTGTAGCCCTGTGTATTCTGGAACTCTCTATGTAGAACAGGCTAGCCTATAGCTCACAGAAATCCACCTGCCTCTGCCTCCCAAGTTCTGGAATTAAAGGCATTCAGCACTGTGCCTGGCTAGGGTCCAGGGGTTCAAATTCAGGTCATCAGGCTTAGCTGCAAGCACCCTTACCCACAAACACATCCATTTTTAGAAATAGCCCCTTCTCCGGTGCTTCATTTGCCTCATCGGGGCATGACAGGAACATACAGCAGGTGCCTCAAGGATCGCAGGACGGCTGCTATGACCTCCTGACTGGTCATGGTGGGGTGAAGAGCAGCGTGCAGCCTGTCACTTCTGACCCCTCCATGCTTCAGCTGAGCACTGTTGTATGTCAAGGTGTCCATGAGAAGGCGTGGCAGGGATGATGGGAGCATTTCATGCAGCCTGTGGGCCCGACCTGCCACAGTCATCCTGTGAGGTAGATATGATTGTCTCTGTGTTTCTACAGAAGAGAAGGCTGTGTCTGAGGATGTGTATGTGGGTAGTCAGTCAGCCAGTGTCATTCTCAGGAAGGTGACAGAGAGGCAGCTGGTATAACGGGGACTGTGGAGCACCACCATAGGTACATGACTCCCCTCAAAGTAAAAACAGTGAGTAAATCACAAGAGAAAGGGCAGGAGCCTCCTCAGGAGCCTCTTCATGGAGCCAGTGTCAGGGTGTCCCCGCGGGACCCTCTCACCTGTTCAAGTCTAAAGCGTACCAGGTTGTCATGTCTGTGTTGTCCAGGTTCTTGTCTGGCACACAGTTAGCCATTGCACCCTGTGAAGGAAGTCAGCTTCATGGTCTCAGGAAGCTGGCTAACTGGAGGTGTTAGGGGCAGCTATGGTCTGAGGGAATGCGCTGTCAACAGATATGAGTGATTCCCTGTGGTGTAGACTCCCCTGCCGTGAGTCACATAGCTCTTCCTAGGTTGCAGTGGATTAATGGAGTTCTTGGATCTTCCAAGCCTGGCACAGTGACACACACCTGTAATCCCAGCGCCTAGGGGTTGAGGCAGAAGGAGCAAGCGACATAAATCCAAGGTCACACTGCTCTCTACAGCGAGTTCCAGCCAGCCAGGCCTCCACGTGAGGCCCTAACTCAGAAAGTGATCATAAAACAGTTCTGTGGGGTTTCTTCTCTCTTCTTTTTTTTTCTTCTGTTTTCTGTCTTTCTCTCTGTGGTGATTGTGTCTGTATGTACACATGTGTGTGCATCTGTGTTTGTGTCTGTAAGCCAGAGTATATATGTAAGCCAGAGATGTATCCTCCTCACTCTCCCATGCATTTTTTTTAATGTGGTTTTTCAAGACAGGGTTTCTCTGTGTAGCCCTGGAACACACTGTGGCTTTGAACTCACAGAGATCCACCTACCTCTGTCTCCAGAGTACTGGAATTAAAGGTATGTACCACCACCACCTGGCTGTATAGTATATTTTTGTTTGTTTGGTTTTTTGGGTTTTCAAGACAGGTTTCTCTGTGTAACAGAGCCCTGGCTGTCATGGACTCAGTTTGTAGACCAGACTGGCCTAAAACTCACAGAGACTCGCCTGCCTCTGCCCCCAAGTGCTGGTGTTAGTGTCATCTGCCGCCATGCCCAGCTCTCTGCTGTACATTTTGAAACAGGACTGGCAGGTCAGCAAGCCATATGGATCCTTCTGTCTCTCTCTGCAGCTGCTAGCTCTGGAGTCACAGGCATGCACTGTGGCTCCCTGCTTTATATGTGGGTGCTGGAGCGCAAATACTTTACCAAGGAAGCTATTGGTTTTGTTGTTGTCGTTGTTTGTATGATAGAGGAGAGGGTGCCAGGGCCTGTGTTGGCAAGTGACCTCCCACTGAACCACACCTTAGGCTTGTCCACATCTTCTCTTTCTTTCATTTTTAAAGATTTTTCAGTTACGTGTATGTGGGTGGGGTGTGTGCAAGCGAGAGCCAGTGCCTCCAGAGACATCAGATCCCCTGGAGCTGGAGTTACAGCAATGGTGAGCTTCCAGATGTGGGTAATAGAACTGAGTTTTTTTTTTTTTTTTTTTGGTTTTTCGAGACAGAGTTTCTCTGTGTAGCCCTGGCTGTCCTGGAACTCACTCTGTAGACCAGGCTGGCCTCGAACTCAGAAATCCGCCTGCCTCTGCCTCCCAAGTGCTGGGATTAAAGGCGTGTGCCACCACCGACCGGCTTTCAGCCCTCTTTCTTAATCTGGATACTTGGCTTGACTTGAGGGGTAGGAAATGCATCTTCCTACTCTGCCCACAAGGTAAAGGTAAGGCGTCTGAGTGCACAGAATGGCGTGATCCTCCTTCCAGGGGGTTGTTTTCTTGGCATGCCCTCAGTGGTTTTCCACTTACTTTTGCAGTTTTTGGCCTTTGAAGAACTGACCGAACTGCTTTACCAAGCCAACTTGTATCAAATGCACCAATTCTCAGCGCACTTCATATGTGGCGGCCTGTCTGCTGGGACAGCCACCCTCACCGTGCACCCTGTGGATGTCCTGCGCACCCGCCTTGCAGCTCAGGGTGAGCCCAAGGTGAGCAGTCAGGACCAGACATGGGAGCCGAGCTGAGGAGAGAGCTCAGGAGTGGGCCTGTCCCTTCAGGAGGCAAAGCTACGGTGCCTTGACTTCTCAGCACAGCAGCTGGTTTGTGGGGCTTGTCAATGACCTGCGCTCTGCAGGTTGCTCTGGTCCATTTCTCCAGAAGCTTATAGCCTTCTGGGAGTACAGCCTGCAGGACCAAAACAGGAAGTGCCCAGCAGTGGGCCGCATGAAGGCAGGTGTCTGGGGACTTAGTCCTCAGGGTTTCTTCACTGGGTTGAAGGAGGTGGCGTGGCTAAGTCTAGGAAGAACTCACTGACAGCATCGGGCCAAGCTTTATGTTTTAGGGACATTTCCTCTTGCTGTGACCAAATACACTGACAAAAGCAACTTAGGGCCCATCCTGGCTCCCAGTTGGAAGGTGCTGTCATCTGGTGGAGAATCCTGTTGCTTTTGTCCTTTGACCACGTGTACAAAGTGTGCCTAGGCCCCCACACAAGAAATAAACATAGTGGCTGCAGAGATGATGTAATGGCTTAGAGCACTGGCTGCTGTTCTAGAGGGCCCAGGTTCAATCCCCAGCACCCACAAGCATCTCACAAATACCCGCAACTCCTGTCTCTGGGGATCCAAAGCCACTTTCTGGCCTCTGCAGGTCCTGCATGTGAAACAGACATACCTAGAGGCAAAAAAACAAAACAAAACAAAACAAAACAAAAACACAACTGTCTCACACCTTCTATTGCTGCAGTGAAACCCCATGACCAAAGCAAGTTGTGGAGGAAAGGGCTTATTCATCTTGTACTTGTACATAACTATCATCAAAGGGAGTAAAGATAGGAGCTCACACAGGGCAGGACCCTGGAGGCAGGAGCTGATGCAGAGGCCACGGAGGGTGCTGCTTACTGGCTTGCTACTCCTGACTTGCTCAGCATGCTTTCTTATAGAACCCAGGACCACCAGGGACTGCCCCACCCACAACAGGCTGGGTCCTCCCCTTCAATCACTAATAAAATGGCTACAGCTGGATCTCATGGAGGCATTTTCTCCATGGAGGTTCCCTCCTCTCAGACAACTCTAGTTTGTGTGTCAGATAAACATAAGACCAGCCAGCATAATGCCCATACACATAAAGTCAAAACTATAAAAGGTCTTTTAGGAATACCAGTATGGGTGTGTCTCTTGTCTGCCCGTTCTATGGCTGCATTGGTGTCGAGAGAATGTTTGGTTTAGAAATGGCTCTAGTTTTGTCTGGCCTTTGTGTTACTCAGGATGGAGACTCCAGTTGGAAAAGATTCTTACGATATTTTGGTTCCAAAAGCAAAGTCCTATAGGAATAGTCAGGAAAACAGGATTGGCCCAGAAGAGCCAAATAGCTGTGTAGGATGATTCATTGGAGAATTGGAGGTTGGGGTGACTGTCCTGGGGGAGAAACGGAGTGAGGGGTGAGTCGGTCTCAGCAGTGTGCTGGCTCCTGGGCTATCGGGAAGGTGGGTGATGACAGCCCAGCTTGTCCTGGACTTCCTGTTGCTTCTCAGTTCTTGGTGAAAGATCATAGAAAGGAAAAGGTGGCTACAGTATCAGGCAGCAAGGCATCGTTCTGGGCTGACCTGCTCTGAGCCTAGCACAGCTGAGAAGCAGAGTCATTCACACAAAAGGCCCGAGTCAAGCAGGCCAGCTTCCCCTGGCATGCCCTGCAGTCCTCTCAGAGTAACCTGACGCTGGCCTCTGGGACATTTTCCGTCAGTCTAGACCCTGCTTCCTGCCTTTCTGGGAAGGACTTTGAAAAGAGCCATCCACTCTTTGTGTCGTTCTTGTTTGTGATCTCCATGGAAGACGTGGGCAGGGTCTTTGTTGCTAGTGGTTTTCCCTTGCCCCCTGGCATAGTGGCCTTCAGAGTTCAGGTGGATCCCTTTGCAGTCCACAAGACATGTGCTTTTAAAGACTGACTTTATTTTATATGTGTGAGTGTTTTATGCCTGTGCGCTATGTGTGTCGTGCAGGCTCTGGAACTGGCGAGCTGCTGTTTGGGTTCTGGGAACTGAACCTCGGTCCTCTCCAAGAGCAGAAAGTGCTCTTCTTACCTGCTTGCTTGGATCCAGTGTCATCTGTTTGTATGCTCATGAGAAAACAACAATTATGGAAGTTTCTAGATTTTATTGCTTTGTTGAGTTTGGAGGCAGGGTCTGCCTCAGTTGCTCAAGCTGAGCTTGAGTCCTTTTCATTTGAGACAAGGTCTTGCAATATAGGCCTCCCTGGCCCAGAACTCGCTGTGTAGACCAGAAGCCATAGAGATATACCTGCCTCTCTGCCTTTTGAGTGCCAGGATTAAAAGTGTGTACTACCAGCGATGCCCAGTTGGCCTCAAACATTTGTCTTTGAGATTTTGGTTTTGTGTGTATGGGTTTTTGCCCACATGTATGTCCATGCACTGTGTACATGCAGTGTTCACAGAGGCCAGAAGAGGTTGTTGGGGACCCTGGAACTGGAGTTAATAGATGGTTATTAGCCGCTGTGGTGGTGCTGGGAACTGGACCTGGATCCCCTGGAAGAGCACCAAGTTCTCTTAATCATGGAGCCATTTCTCCAGTCGCTGGCCTCAAACGCTTGATCCTCCTGCTTCTGTCTACTAAGTGCTGTGACGAGTGTCACCACACCTGGCTGTCCTTTTGAATTTTAGTTTTGTTTTGAGATAGGTCTCATTTAGTCCAGGCTGGCCTTGAACTCCTGTTCCTCCTGCCTTCATCTGCCAAGTGCTAGGACTGCAGCATGCGCCATTACACACAGCCACACCCCCACACAGCCATGCCCCCTTACTTTTATCTCTAGTTTTCCTAGACTGAAAAGGAAAAGTTACACTCCTGGAAGCTGGGTTTTAGATAGGAGAAAGATGCATTTGGGCTGTTCTTGGGCAGAATCCGCCTCACAAGGTTCACTCACACTGTGCATGTGCATGGGCAGATCTATAAGAATCTGCGAGAGGCCATACGGACCATGTATCGGACCGAGGGCCTCTTCGTCTTCTACAAAGGCTTGACTCCCACCGTGATCGCCATCTTCCCCTACGCGGGCCTGCAGTTCTCCTGCTACCGCTCCTTGAAACGTGCCTATGACTGGCTCATACCACCAGACGGAAAGCAAACAGGTGAGGTGCCCCACAGCCTAGCCTGGGCCACAGCTTCTGGGAGCCTTCAAGGCAATGCATTTCCTGTCAGAAGCTAAGGCTGACTGTTAGCCCCTGGCTCTGCATCAGAGCTAGCAGAACAAGCAAGTCCTGCAGCATAGAGGGAGCTTCCTTCCGGCTCTTCCACACCTTCCGGAAGCAAGCATATTTCCAGAGAATGGCTCTGCTACTGTCCACGTTTTGTCAGAAGCCCAACTTACAAATTGCAGGGTTTTTTGGCTTTTTGTTTGTTTTGTTTTTGTATTTTACTTTTTACTTCTGTGGTTCTTGTTTGCGGGGAGAGGGGTACAGTGTTCCCATTCTCATTTTGGGACTCACAGGCTCTGTGCCTCCTGGTGGGAATGACTACACAGCAGACCCTGCTACTGAGTTGGCTAATGTGCCTGTTGTCACTCTTGCTTCAGTGGCTGTGTCTGGCTCTACAGTGATCATTATGGGGTTTCGTTCTGTGATGGATTATGTGTGTGGGTATTGTCTGTCTGTCTGTGTACTGTATGTGTGTGCTTTGTGCCCTTTGAGGAAAGAAGAGGTCATTGGCTCCCCTAGAACTGGAGTTACAGGCAGTTGTGAGTCACCATGTGGTGCTGGGATTGGAATCCAGGCCCTCTGGAAAAACAGCCAGCTCTCTTAACTGCCGAGCCTCCTCTCTCCAGCCCTGATTTATTTTAGTATCCATGCCAAAATATCTCCTGGAGTTGTAGTTACAAGCAGTTGTGAGTGATACCTGATGTCAGTGCTGGGAGCAGAACTTGATTTTTCTGGAAGAGCAGCAGGTGCTCTAAAACCCTGGGCAGTCCCCCTGTCCCTGCCCCTGCCCGCTCCGCTCCCCCTGTTCCCTGTCCCCTGTCATGTTGTTTACCTTCTCCCTTCCTTCTCAACATGGTGTCTGGTTCAGGAAACCTTAAGAACCTGCTCTGTGGCTGTGGATCTGGAGTCATCAGCAAGACTCTGACGTATCCCCTGGACCTCTTCAAGAAGCGCCTGCAGGTGCGCGGCTTTGAACGTGCCCGATCTGCCTTTGGCCAGGTAAGTCATCCTGTGCAGCTGGATCTTGAGGGAACTGGCAGTATTGACCCTGTCCTTGCTTTGGTTTTCTGTAGCTTTATGTCTTTGCATAAACACACCTGCACATTTTTATAAAAACAAGGTTAGCTTGGTGGTAGTGGTACGCACCTTTAATCCCAGCACTTGGAAGACAGAGGCAGGAAGATTGCTAGTTTTGAGACCAGCATGGTCTACAGAGCAAGTTCTAGGACAACCAGTGCTACACGTGGAAAAATAAAATAAAAATAAGGTTACACAATGCAAGGTTTTGTAACCTTATTTTTCCATCTACCAAGATATCCCAAAGAGAGCATTTGAATTTAGATTGGGAGAAATGGCAAGAGCCCAGGACATAGGCCTTTTTCCTACACTAGTGTGATCTGGCTGGCTGGAGGGAGGGGCGCTCATGGAGGACCAGTGGGAGCCAAATGTTGAAATGCCTTGAATACCAGCCAGACTTGGAACTTAGACTTGATGCAGGATAGTGTCTTCATCATCGGGTGTCCTTGGAGCACAACACAGGGAAGGGCTATGTCTTGAGGACATAGGCCAGGATAGAGGTGGGCACCAGTCAGGGACGATCTAGTGCTGGCCTTATTTAGACCTGCTGACCAAGGGGAGCAAGAGAATGAGATGACTTGGTCTGCTTCTCCTGTAGCTTCTCACAGGCTACAAAGAATGAAGAGTGCCCTCATCCAGGGCCTTGTTCATCCAGGAGCTGACTTGCGCGGTCCTGGTTTTAGTCACTGCTTCCTCCTCAGCCTGCACCTTCCTCCCCCAGGTTCGGAGCTACAGGGGCCTCCTGGACCTCGCCCAGCAAGTGCTACAAGAGGAAGGTGCCCGGGGCTTCTTCAAGGGCCTGACCCCCAGCCTGATGAAGGCCGCACTCTCCACCGGCTTCATGTTCTTCTGGTACGAGCTCTTCTGTAACCTCTTCCAGTGCATAAGGAAGGAGGACAGATAGTTGAGGCAGGAGGCGCCTCCCCAACGAGACTTGGCTCTGAGCTCATACTGAGCAATGGCTGCTGTCTGGTTGGCCTCCTGGCCAGCTGCCGAGAGCATGAAGAGTCATCCAGAGCTGAAGGCAGAAGAAGGCAAGGGTCTTTGCTGAACAGAAGGAAGAGAGAAGGGACTGCTTGCACTGTAGAAAGGAGGCCGAGGTGGTGGAGCCTGGTACGTGCACCTCACCTCTGACTAGCCCAACCCGGAAGGAACTGGCCATCTTTGCAGTCCTGGTTTTGGGGAGAAAGCTCCTAGTCCTGGTAGGACCACACTGCAGTGCAGACGGGTGGGGCTGGGCTCTGGGCACAGTTCTAAACGCCATGACTTGGTCTGCTTCTCCTGCCAACTTATTTAATAGACATTAAAGTAAAAGGTGTGTTTCTTGTGTCACTCCTGTAGCTTAGGAACCACATCCCAGCTGAGGGAGGATGATGGGAGGGCCCTTTCTGGCTTGTAGCCCTGAGGTAGCCATGCTCGTCAGCTTAGGGGGAAACCCTATCGTGTGGGTAGCTCTAACTCCCAGGCCCAGACTTTTGTGTCTGTGAGGCTCCAGGACAGGTCAGGAAGGAAACGGAGACAGAACAGCTCCTAGGCAGAAGGCAGGAAGTGAAGGGGGTGTGCTGAATGGCTGACAAGAGTGGCTCCCCTCTCACTGGGTGCGGGTTAGCTCTGCTGCATGCAGGGTACTCAGGCCAGGGGCCGTCATCAGTTCTGCTTGCATGCCTCACACTCTGTCTTCAATCCTAGATGGGCCTCAGCCGCAGAGCAGTCCAGTGATGGGATGTCTGACAGCCTGGTGAGGCATGGTTGGCACCTGTTAGCAGAGCCAGGGATCAGACATAGGTATCTAGATGAAGAGGGGACATTTTGTTCATGGCACGAGAGAAGAATCACATGACTGCCATCTTTCCCATGCTCAAGCCTAGCCGTGGGGTTGGTCTCTAGAGGGAAGGGAGGAGAGGTTTCCTGACTCTGTGGGATTCCAGCCCCTTGCCATAACTTGGATTGTAATGCCTGCTGGGAATGGCCCTGATCTTGGAAACCAGGGCTCTGCCCTGCCTGTCAGTCTCACTCCTCTGTGGTCCATTGTGGCCCTCCCCTGGTGGTTGAACCTTTTCTGATCTTGACTGCTGATTCTGCAGGCCCAGGGTGGCTTGGGAGGGCTTCTGAGGTGGGTGGGCTGTTGGCTTCCTGGACTTGGAGCAGCAGAGTGTTTAGTGACCCTTTTCCTGGAGAGATGTGAATAAATTTATATTCCAGAGAAGGAACTGATTACAGACCATTGTAAGGATACTATCTGTCTCAGGGCTTCTACTGCTGTGACAAACACCGTGGCCAAGAAGCAAGCTGGGGAGGAAAGGGTTTATTCGGCTTACACTTCCACATCACTGTTCATCACTGATGGAAGTCAGGACAGGAACTCAAACAGGGCAGGAACCTGGAGCTGATGCAGAGCCCATGGAGTGGTGCTGCTTACTGGGCTTGCTCTGCCTGGACCACCATCCCAAGGATGGCATCACCCAAAATGGGCTGGGCCCTCCCCAATCAATCACTAATTAAGAAAATGTTCTACAGGCTGCCTGCAGCCGGATCGTGTGGAGGCATTTTCTTAGTTGAGGTTCCTCCTCTCAGATGACTTTAGTTTGTGTCAACTTGACATAAAACTATCCGACACATTACCAAAGTCCAACTAGGGGAGCCAATGAGGTTCCCTGGGGTTACTTACAGAAGCAAAAATGACTCAAAGACAGCTACATCACCCAAAGCTCAGCTTAGCATTGCCGAGCTCAGGAAAGCTGTGATCATGGAGCACACTGTGCGGTCAGTCTGGAGGCAGCCCAACTGGAGAGTTCTCCAGGCAGCTCAGCGGGTCCCAGCCTCTTCAGGTCAACTTGAGCAGTCTCAGAGTGTGCTGGGCAGCCCAGCTCATGGTGCTGCTTGCACACGTGTGTGCTGGCTTCAGCCTTTTCAAACTTAGCTCGTTTGAGTGCAATTCGGCCATCCCTCGATGCTTTTACACCCTTATTAGGGAGGGGCTTCCAGGAGCCTGTGAGTTCTTCACTTCCCCTCCTTAGACTATCCTGTCTCTTAATGTGTTTTCCTGAATGGTGGGATGTCGTTTCTCCTTTATCTTAACCTAGAAGATTCAGGGTCGGCTGTTTGGTTTTTTTTTGTTTGTTTGTTTTGCTTTGTTTTTCGAGACAGGGTTTCTCTGTGTAGTCCTGGCTGCCCTGGAACTCACTCTGTAGACCAGGCTGGCCTCGAACTCAGAAATCCACCTGTCTCTGCCTCCCAAGTGCTGGGATTAAAGGCGTGCGCCACTACCGCCCGGCCTGATTTTCTTTTTTAATGAAATCTTATCGAAGTAAATTCCGTGCTCCTCGTTACCCTACCCTCAGGAGCTTCTTGTGCTGCCACAGAGAGTTCTCCGTTGTACCTATTACCGAGTGTTGTGGCAACTCTTAAAACAGCCGCGAGCTTTGGCTCCTGGTCTCCCGCGCGCAGCCATCCGTGATGCTCCCGACTTCCCCCAGGAAAGACCCAGAGTCCTTTATCGTGGCTGCCCCTTTGATTTAAAACTTATTTTGTCTTGAGTGGCAGGAGAGGGGGTTGCCAGGGTGTGCCCCGGCCCTTACCCTCGGCTTTAACGGGGCAAACCCTAGACGACTACGCCCCTCCTCCTAAGCAGGCCACGCCTTCCGGAGGCTCCTCCCACTCCGCTCGGCCGGGGAGTCTCTGACCCAGTTCACCTGAGCCCGGCAAGGGACATGGTGACCCCGGCGCGGAGTGCGACCCGGTTAGACCAAGGACTTCATGCGAAACGCAGGGCGGGTCCGGCCCAGCGCTCGGAGGGCTTTGCGGTCAGAAACAAGGCGGAGGTGCGCCGGGTGAGAAGGGGAGAGGGTCCGGTGAGCTCGCGGCGCTCGGCAGTGGCGGTGTCGCAGTTGTCGGGTGCCGATCTGTCTCCGCGCCAAGCGAGGGAGCGGCCGGGGGCGGCGGCGGGGTGCGGAGGCGAGGGCAGGCCGTGGCCGGCAGGCGGCGCTAGCGAGTCGCCCAGGCGCCGCAACGCGAGAGGAGCCCCGCCGCCGCCGCGCGGTACCACGCCGGGCGCGCGCCGCGCAGCGCCCTCCCACGCAGGCCAGCCCCAGCCCAACGGCTGCCGCGGTGGGCCCTGTAGGCTGGAAACACTAGCAAACGCTGCGAGAGAGGGGTTCAGAGCCCTGCTGGTATCAGGATCTGCGGCTCGGACTGAGCCAGCATCCTCTATGCTGGGTGATATGAGCGAGTCTGACGTTTCCCTCTCCACACCCAGTTCAGTGTTTGCCCCCCTAAAGTTACCCTGATACTGACTGCTAATAACCCAGATCCTGCTGCGACCCTACGTGAATTCCCGCTTCATTTCTCATATATAATCCCAGAAGCCTGGGCTTCCTTCGGCTGAGCAGCAGGTGTCTACTAGATGCCCAAGTACTCCACCCGAAGTCAAGTTTGGTGGGCACTCAGCCAACCACTGATCGCGACAGAAAGTCCAGTTCCACCTGTCCCAAGGCCTGGTCTGGCCGGCCCAGTGCCTGCAGGACTAGAATCCGGAGCTTTGTGATTCACACTCGAAGCCTCAACCGTCTTTGCTTCTCAGGTGCTGTCATTAGTTTCAGGCCAGTGAAAAACTGCCGGGGCTAGACCGTCATGGGCGAGGCCAGTAGAGATGACTATAAAATCCAGTCTTTCGATGCAGAGACTCAGCAGCTGCTCAAGACCGCGCTCAAAGGTGAGCCTACCACCTACCACTTAATTTGTGTCAAGTTGACATAAAACTATCCAGCACACTACCAAAGTTCAACTTGGTGAGCCAGTGAGGTTCCCAGACGAATATTCTGTTTGGGTAAGAGCCGAAGTGGGGGTTGAGGCCCAGAGCCAGCAATGCCTAAGCCCTTCCTTGGTACTCAGAGAGTAAGTCACAAGCTGATTCTCGATCTGGAAGGAATGCTACATTTAAGCCAGTATTTTGGAGAATGTATCACAGAGTTATATTTAAAGTACCCATGAAAGGAGACACTGCTTCATTTTTGAAATCTTTGCATTTGGTGAATCAGCACCCTTGAATGTACAGAGATGCCTGGTTTGGACAGAGGTTAGAGAATCAGCCTGGCAGAGGGGATCAGCCTGGCCCTTCTGTTACAGGACAGAAGTTTGACAGAACAATTAGCAATTGCTATCATGTGCTAAGCTAAACATTTTGGAGAAGTCTCCGTTACAGCCACTCATGTCTGGAGCCTCTGTGTTTTGAGAACACATAAGCCACGCTCGTGGCTCATGCCGGTAACCCCAGCAGATTACAGAGGTAGAAGGATTAGCACAAATTCAAGGCCAAACGGCTCAACATAGAGAGAGTGCCTGGGTTAGGAGAGATGGCCCAGTGGTTTAGGGCATTTAGTGTGCTGTACACCTTTAACTCAGGAGGCAGAGGCAGGTGGATCTCTATGAGTTCCAGGATAGCCAGGGCTACATAGTGAGATGCTGTCACCAAAACAAAACAAAACAGAAAAGCATAAAGAACACGACTTGCAGAGGACCTTGAGAGGCTCAAGGCCATTGGTAACTCAGTTCCCAGGATCCCATTCGGTCTTGTGATCTCCGGTACCAGGCAAACACATGGTATGCATGCATACACACAAACAAAATGTTCATACATATAATATGAATAAACCTTTAAAAACTTTCATGGTGAGCTCCAGGCCAGCCAGAGCTAAATCGCAAGACAAGGCTATCTCCAAAAAAAAAAAAAAAAAAAAAAAAAGAAGTCTTGGCATCCAGTGTACATGCATCAAGTGCCTGAAAATAAAAGATGTGTAGCCTGAGAAACGACACTTCTCCTCTGGTCTCCTCAGCCTCCTAATCCTACATCCTCCCTGGCTGGCCTACAGCTCAAGAGATCGGCCTCCCTCTTCCGCCTAAATATTAGGATAAAAGGTTTGCGCTGTTCCTGGCAGAGAACAAATCATTGATTTTGTTTATTTATGTTTATACCTACTTGTCTACATGTGAACCACACATATGCTGTGCCTGTGGAGGCAAAGAAGGGTGTCACATCCTCTGGAACTGAAGTTCTAGGCGCCTGTGAGTGCCAGCGTGGACGCCAGGAATCAAGCCTGGGTCCCCTGCAAAAGCAAGTGCTCTTACCTACGGAGACGTTGCGTCACCTCTCCCATTTTCTGACGGGGCAGCGGGGTCCTGACAGAGCTGCCCTAGGCATGGCTACAGCCACCTGCCTTCTCTGAGAAAATGTTTCTATTGGTTTGGTTGCTTTGCTTCCAGTCTTTGCTCCACACATAGAAGGCATAGTGCTTTTTCCCTAAATTATACCCTTTACACCTTCAAAT